TTTGGCTGTGACTGTGGTATGTGAAGAGGGGCTATGCTTCTGGGGCTGGGCTTTAATCCAGGTCACTCCAAGTTTCTCCACACCTGGTAATGGCCCTTCTCAAAGTTCAGTCTTGTTGCCGTCAATGAAGCAGATCCTTTAACAGCTTTGTTTTCATTCTTCAAGCTCTGGCTATGGTGGAATGGGACATGTTCGACTGGTGAGCAGTAACCATCACTCATTTTCCACCTTTGTAGTCTTTAATGAGCTTTAATTTCCAGGTCATTCACTCTTATTAGCAGTGGATGGTAGGGGCCATGATGAGCAAAACAATATGAGACTAAATCAAGTACACAAGAATATAGTATGATTGAGACACAGTGAACACAAGATATACGAGGCTGCTGCTGCAGTAGCAGCAACATAGCATACTACTTCACTGTAAGCTGCCAGGGTACACACTAAAACAATGAATAAAAGTAAACATATTGTACTGGGGATTGAACTCAGGGCCTCACATATGCTGTGCAAGTCCTCTACCACTGAGCTACATCCCCAGCTCAAAGGTAAACATACAAGGCAATCACAGTCATTTATTGTCAAGTGGTAGATATGCAATATGTTGTGCTGCCACACTGATGGCTACAACTGTCAGCAGACAGCATGAATTTTTCAGCACCATTATAATCTGGTACCACTGCTGTATATGTGGTCCACCTGATTAAAACACTGCCACACGACTGGGGTGTAGCTCAGTGGTAGAGTGGATGCCTAGCATGTGTGAAGCTCTGGGTTCAATTCCTAGCTCTACACAAGCAAAGAACCAAAGCAAATCTAAAGAAAAAGCCTCACCTTGCTATGAGATGCACGGCTGTATTTTACTGCTTTGTTTAGTCATGTCAATTCCTTTTTACAATTATAGAGGCTTTTGAGTGTATTTTGATATCTGCTAAGCTTAGAGTCACTTCAAAGATCTTTTAATGCTTTGATGTTTCTGCTTATTTTTCCAAGTAAATTTTCATTAGTTTTAAAAAAATAACAAATTAGAAATTTTAGCTGAGTGTGGTGGCCCATGCCTGTAATCCCAGCACTCAGGAGGGTAAGGCAGGAGGATTGCTGTGAGTTTGAGGCCAGCCTAAACTACATAGCTAGACCCTGTCTCAAAAGACAAAAAAAAAAAAATTTTTTTTTTTTAGTTACTACAAGACTGTATTTTTAATGCCATTAACTATAAATTAAATGCCACTGTAATACCGGTATAAGAAGAGTCATTTAATTTCTTCTCTCATACTCTAAAATTAAATTTTTGGTTTTTTGAGACAGGGTCTCACGTAGTTCAGGCTGGCCTTGAACTCACTATGTAGACCAGGCTGGCCTGCATCTCATGGCAATCCTCCTGCCTCATCCTCCCAAGTGCTGGAATTACAGGCTTGTGCCACCACGCCCAGCAATTAGTTCAGTTTTATATTAAAAAAATCAGCTCTATTTTTTAAAACTGAGATTTCATTAAATTTATAAAGAAATGACAATTTGATGTTGAAATGTCAATCAAGAACAACCGCTGTCTTTCCATCTGTTCCCTTTACCTGTGTCTTTCAAGAATATTTACATTCGCTTCTCTTAGGGTTTTTTTTTCCCAGGTACTGGGGATAGAACTCAGGACCTTGCACTTTCGAGGCAGATGTGGCGCCACTGAGCTAAATTCCCAGCCCTCTCCTAGGTTTTTACATTTTTTTTTCCTGTACTGGGGATTGAATCAAGAACCTCCACATCAAGCTACAGCTCTAGTCTTTTAAAATTCTGAGACAAGATCTCACTCATATGCCTGAGCTGGAACTTTAGATCCCCCTGCCTCAGCCTCCCAGAATGCTGGCGGGTTTTTAAGCAGTTCTTGTTAAAAGGGAAACCTTAGCCATGAAAATTACTTTGTTGTTGTTGTTCCTATTGTAACTGTGATTTCCTCTTCTGTTGTATCAACTGGCTTTTTAAAATGTACATACAAATCATTTTATGTCCTATCTCAACTACTGTTTCTGGAAACTTAGTTCACTAACTCAGGCTGACCTTGAACTCATGGCGATCCTGTCTCAGCCTCTCAGAACTAGGATTAGTGCACCACACCTGGCCTCACTCATTTTGAGATAGTTTTGGGATTAAACTTTTCAGATAATCACGTTACCAACAAAGCAAATTTTATTTCTTTTTCCACTATGCCTGTAATTGTTTTTGCTTTTCTATCTGTATGGGCTCAAAGGGATCCCACTTTGTGCCTGTTGTTTCTATTGAGAGGATGCTAGCTTGGGCTGGATAGGGAGCTCAGGGGCGGAGACAGATGATGGCTTAGGGTTAGGGCACTCGCTAAAGTAAAATGATGTCAATATAACCATCTACTCCTGTTTTCTCAGTTTTAATTTTGTCTCATTTTTTAAGGACCTATAATCTTTCTTTATCTATTAATATGATAAATTATATAAATTTCCAAATACGGAATCACCCTTGCATCCTTAGTATAAACCTCACTTTATTAAGGCGCATTTCCTTAACATGGCATGAGATTGCACAATATTTAGGGTTTTGCAATGACATTAAGTTCTGTTTAACTGTAATTTTCATTTCTTTGAGCTCTGTCAGGTTTAGAAATCATTATTCCTGTTTTACAAAAATAACTACAATTTTTTTTCATGTTACTATTTATGCAGTGTGGGAATATCTACTCTTTCAAGCAGAATTCCCCTTGGTCTTATATTGTTTTTTTTTTCCCGGCTTGGTTAAATTAACTAGTAGTTTATCTTGTGAATTTTCTCCCAAAGATCCAGGATTGATTCATCAATCAGGTATATAGTTTTTGTTATTAATTTCTACTTTTACAATTTTTTTTTTGGTACCAGGGATCAAACTCAGGACTTGAGCTTGTGAGGCAGGCGGCAGGACCACTGAGCTAAATCCCCGGCCTTTTTTTTTCTTGTTTTTGAAATTTTTTTTTTTTTTTTTTGAGACAGAGTCTCACTGTCCAGGCTGGGCTCGAACTCACAGCAATCTTCCTGCCTCAGATTCCCAGGCGTTGGGATTACAGGTGTGTGCCATTATGCCCAGTTCTACTTTTACCTTTATTTCTTTTTCAGTGTTCATTTTTGGCTTTTTTTTTTGGTACTGGGGATCGAATTCTGGTCCTTGTGCTTTCGCAGCAGGCGGCAAAACCACTGAGCTAAATCCCCAGCCCTTGGCTTTATTTTCATTTCTGAGGTAAGAATTTATTTTCATTGCTTCTTGGCCTTTTGGCTAAGATCAAGTGTAGGAATTTATTTTCACTGATACAGGTGTTTAGGGCTGTGAGTTTTCCTCTGCTTACTGCTTTAAATGTATTCCATACAGTGTGATGTAGATTTTCTTTCTTTTTTGGTACTGGGGATCGAACTCAGGACCTTGCGCTTATGAAGCAGGCGCAGTACCACTGAGCTAAATCCTTGGCCCTAGATTTTCATTGTCATTCTTCTCAGGAACTCTGCAATCTGCTGCCATTTCCCTTTTACACCAGTTAAGCTGCTTAAAACTGAGGCACACTCTTTAGTGTTTATCAAGAGACAGGACTTCTCGACACTGAAAAGTTCCTTCACGTACTTCCTGCTCACTCCTTCCCCTTCTCCCAGTGCCTCACCCACCAGTTTTTGTGCGTCTAGGGTGCGTTTCTCTCATCTCCGATGCTTTACACCAGAAGATTACGCCTCAGTTCTTCTGAATGTATTCCCAAAACTGCAACTGCTGGATCATGGGATACAGGTGAGCACGCCTCTTGTGTAAGGCGTGGAACTGTGTTTCAGATTTTGGAGTATTTACACATATATATCTAACATATATATATTTTGACATTTCTTGGAGATGGGACCCAAAGTCTAAGCACAAAACACATCTAGGTTTCACTTCTACCTTAGTCATGAAAGTCACTTTATAGAATATTTTTAGTGCACTTGTATTTTTACTGGCTCATCACATGGCGTCAGGTGTGGAATTTTCCACTTGGGGGCCTCAGGTTTGTGCTCAAAGAGTTTTAAATGGTGGAGCATTTCAGATCTTGGAATTTCAGATTAGAGATGCTCAACTTGTCTTTAAGATCATATACACATGGAAAAAGATGTATGAAAATTTTCGTGTTTGATTTCTTTCACTTTGCATACTGTATTTGAGATTCATTCACGGTATCATAGCATGTATAAACAGTTCACGGCCTTTTACTGCTGAATATACCACTTCAATGTACCACCTAATTCTTACTCCATTCAGTTTTAACTGCCATGAATATTCTTACACATAGTTTTCTGTGAATACATATAGTGTCTTGCTTTTTTGTAAGGGAGATGTTCCAAATCTCCCTGTGGATGCCTGAAATCAAAGAATATACGTGAAGCTGTTTTTTTCTATTACCCATACCTATGATAAACAGTAAGGGATTAACACCGATAGAATTTTAATATACTGTACAAAAAGCTATCTCTCACAGACTCTTATCCTACTGTACTCACCCTTCTGTGATGCTACAAGGCCTCTCTGTTGCGACGAAGTGAGGTGACTGATGCAGTCTTAAGGCTATGTAAGGGTGTTTGAACACAAGTACCTCGATGCCTGAGAGTCAATCTGCCAACCCAGAGGGCTGGTAAGGAACAACGGGCACAACGCGTGGATAAGCTGGACAAGTGAGTCGGGTCCTAGGCAGGACAGAGCAAGACGCTGCAAACTAATGTGTCTTCTCAAACCATGTATCTGAATCTTATGTGCATGTGATCAAAGTGCAAAGTAAGAATTAACAGATTCTCTCTGACACCTGGAATAAGGAGGTAGGACGCTATTCAGCTCTCTCTGGCTTCTCACTCCACTTCCAGGATGAAAAGCACAGCTGGGCTAGTGATAAATCCAAATGTCAACATATTGGGGACTAACTTCTGCTTCCACCCCTGTTATGACTCTGGATGCAACAATTACCTGAGTCTCAGTATCCTTTTCTTCTAAATAAAGAAAACACCACTTACCACACAGGAAGGATGTATGATAAAATAAAATAGTTCACATGAATGGACTTTCAGTTCTTCAGAAGAAAGTTAGGACTCCTTTAATATGAACCTGAAAAGCTAATTAAAAATAAGATGATCATGTCAAAATTATGAAACACACAGTGGCCTAGAGTCTTTAAGATCACTATTACGGGAGCCAGATTAAACAAAAAAAGTTGATAATAATGACCTTTTACTCGTTTTTTTTTTTTTTGCTGCTGGAGATTGAACCCAGGTCCTCGTGCATGCTAAGCACATGCTCTACTACTGAGGTAAGCCCTTAGCCTGAGTCAGTTTTCAGACCCAAATTATAGAAATCATACACAAATTGGGGGTGTCATACAATTATGGTTTGAAAAATCAAATAAGATCACTTATTAACATTAATATACAGAATGTAAGTTGAATACACTATTGTGTCATTCTGACTTGCTACATTCTCTAAATACATTGATATAAAATGATGACATGCTCTTGGGATTCTTTTTTCACTACTGGGATTTGAACTCAGGACCTCACAGGCACTAGACAAATGTGCTACCAGTGAACTACATCCCTAGTATCCTCCAAGTATTTTTAAAAAGATGAACACACTGGGGATATAGTTTAGTTTTAGAGTGCTTGTCTACCATGAGCGAGCCTCTGAGTTCTATCTTCAGTATTGCCAGCAAACACAAACACACAAACACACACACACACACACACACACATTTATATTTGGAGCTGGATGCTCTAACAATACATATTCATTGAATAATAATAACTAGAATATTGATTAAAACTGAGTTAAACACGAAGAGTAGTGCCTGACTCATGAAATTAATTCTTTCCATGATTCTGGTTGTAGAATTTGTTCCACGATCACTTATAGTACATATATGTTTACAATTCAATTGCAATCATACACACGAGGGATGGGTATTTCTCTGGTACACAAAATAATCTGCAACTAGCAAATGAAAGCTCTGAAGTCTAAAAGTAAGGGAAGATTTAACCAATATTTATTAAGCAATATATACAAATCATCATGCTAAGCAATAGAAACACAAAAAGTATTAAGACTTAATAGGCTCACCCTGCAACTTGACTGCAAACTGTGGTCAAATAACTGAACAAATAGTACTACATAAGACCAGTTTTATTAGGAGTAGTTATTAGATATTACAGTGAAAAATGAGAAAAAGGGATTCTGGAAAGATGTCTTAACATTGTAATTATCATTTATTCAACAGCTTCCATCTGAGTGCAGGTTTACCGATAGATACCTCAGGAGGAGGCAGGGCTGGTTCTCACCCTGTATTTCGGGTAAGGAAAATGAAGCTGAGAGATTAGGCAACTTGTCTAAGATCATAGGTCAGGAAGTGGCAGAGCCAGAGCCTAACTAGTTTGCCAACTTTTCCAATGCTCACTTCTACTACACTAAATTTTAACTTATAGACACTAATGAGAGATCTAGAAGGGAGCTTAGAAACTTCCTCAAGTAGGGCTACCCTAACCAACGTGTTATTTTCTGGGGCACACATTAAAGAGACTCCCAGACTTTTACTAGTGAATGACCAAATCCAGGAGAGGGGTGCACTCTTTTAACAGGAGCCCTGAAAGGTGGGCCCAGGGATAAGCTAAGTTTGGAAAACACTGTTCTATACTTGCATGTCCATTAGACAGACATGTGACATTTAAATTGACACTGATTAAAACACAACAATAAGGGCTGGGGATTTAGCTCAGCAGTTCCACCGCCTGCCTTGCAAGTGCAAGGTCCCAAGTTCATTCCCTGGTACCAAAAAAATACAAAACAAAAAGACAATAAAAAATTTTACTTTTCTAGTCCACTATATTTTAAGTGTTCAACAGCCATGTGTGGCTAGGGGCTACCACAGTGGATAGCACAAATACAGGATATTTCTACCATTGCAGATGTTATATTGGACAACACTGATTAATTTGAGATCAACCCTTCAATTATGATGAGAAAACCAAGGGACGGGATCCTGTCTCGAAATGCTACGGTGTAGTCAGTGGCAGAATTGCCCATCCAACCTTGTCCGCCAATGCCATTGTTATTGTGTCGCTTCCGTCTACCCCACAGGCAGGCTCTGTTCACATGCAATTACTGCCTTTTCATCTTTTCTTGAAGATCCCAGCACACCAAGGACAGAAATTCTAAGTTCATAGGGGAAAAAAATCCTTTAAAAACAATCTAATTTTTATATAAAATCCAATACTGTCCTGGACAGTTAAGAATATCCTGAAGTCCTTTCTCTTGTACTCTACGTTTGATTTTTCTCTCCCTCAGCTTTGAAATAGTGAGGCTTACGACATATATGGTCTTACTCTGAACAAGTGTGAAAGGTTAAAAATCTTATCTAACAAACATTTCAAGATGAAGTGAGAAGTATGAGCCCAAAGAAGAGTGACTCTTCCAACTGTTGAATGTGGCCACTCAGATCGCTGAGCACTCCTGGCTTTCAATAGTTTAATGTTTATGGCTTTAATATGTTGTTTTCACTAAGAAACTATGATCTTACCTCTGCTTGACTAATATGTTTTGAAACAATTTAAAATATTGTTTCATTTTAATTTCCAAAATAATGAAGAGACTAGAGGCAGCATCCAAACATCAAGGAAGAATTAGGTAATAAGGTCAACTCGTTACCGGCCATAAAAAATAAAGAAGTGTCTTCTTTAATAATAAAACCAGTTGTTCCTGTCTAGTATGTTTATAATTTGGATCTTTCCAAAGTCAGTCAACTTATATCATGACAATTCATGCTTAAAGCAAGCAGGAAAACTTGGAACTCAAATATAATTAAACCTTTAAATACACAATTATATAACTTAATTTTTTCACAATCTAGTATTCAATTCCATGTTCAATTCTAGTGACTAGATTTGGGGAAAATATTACACGTCAAAATTTACATAAATAAAAACAGACTCCAATATAGGACACTATGAACAGATACTTATTCAAGACAGATTTTGCCATAATTTGCAAGGTATCCACAAGCCTGGAATATGGGGTTCTACATAAATAGACGCTACTTGTTATTCAAAGGAGGTGGTACAGAAAAAGACAGTTATTCTTTGTAAACACTCTCTGGTGTTGAGGTAAACAAATGAAAAATAACAGCCTAAGCACACATGAGCAAAGCAACAGTCTCTAAGTCATAGGAGGGAGGAGAAAAAAAGGTCTGTGGTCCAACATTCTAAACAGGAGGTTGAGAGTTTAAGGTACAATTTATTCACTGGCTTTCGGACCAGCTGCGTTACTTCTACATTATGTCTGTACTCCCACTTCACCATATTAGGAAGAGGAGAATCTGTGCCCCCAAGATTCTTGTGCCAAGGAAACTATCGCAGGCAGCACAGCTCACTAAATGAAGGAGCACGTTGGAAAAACATTGAGTAACAGTTCGAACTTGAAACTGAATTACCAAGCAATAAATACTGGTGCATATTAAAACAGGAAGCATTGGGCCAGGGATGTAGCTTAGTGGTTCCAGCGTCTGCCTTGCAAGTGCAAGGTCCAGAGTTGGATCCCCGGTACCACCCCCCCAAAAGGAAGCACTAAAAATATTGCAAACCCTAAGCAGATATTAAAGTGTTGCGTAAATTTCAACTCTCAAAAAAAGTGTTAAAAAAATAAAAGCTTTAATGAAAAAAGGCCCTTGAAGGGAAGAGGAATCTTGGAGGAACACAAGTTGAAATGATGGGGAGTAGGAGTTTTGACTGTCCCTCTACCAGGTGAGGCTTCTAACAGCTTCAGTACAGCCCCAGGAGGCAATTTTAAGCATCCTTAGGGACACTGATTTAGGCAACAAGCAAACATGCTTTGGTGATAGAACTACAGGGATGCTGCTGAAATTTCTAATTGCAAAGAGGTGCACTAATAGAAGACAGCCACGAAAACCTCAGTTTGCAATTCCCTAGTTTCCAGTAGGATGTCCCAAGCATCTTTAGACAGGTCTCCGGCACATCTAAAACTGACCCAGCAAAGGTTTTGGCAGGCCTTCACGATCTTTCAACCCCCCCCCCCCCCGCCCCTTTCCTGCTGCTCTTTCCTGGCACACAAAATATAGGCCAATGAGCAGTGGGTGGGTGAGGAGGATGTGAGAGAAAAATTTGAGAAGTAAAAAAGGAGCAACTAACCAGGACGTGAATGAGACTGCGGGTCTAATAAGGGAAAGCAAGCAACCACCCAAACTACTGAAAAACCGAAGGGGCTTTCCTGAGCAGTGGGGAGCGATCAGGGTTCCGAGGGGTTTTAAGAAGGCCAAACTACCTACCACTTGTCAGAGGCTGCAGAGGGGACGGCTGCGTGGGGTGGGTGACCTCTAATGTTTCTTCCGACTCTGAAACGTTAGGATTTTTATTTTACAACAAAGAAGGCAGTGGTCGTGGAAGCCCTTTGCAAGCAGCGCCGAGGAGGCTGCTTCCCAAACACCACTCCCACCCTCCCTCCCACACGTGCCCACCCCGCCCCCTTTCAATATTTCCACCTCCACGTGCAAAATACCTCGCGGCGCTGGCCCCTCGACCGACGGGCAGCTTGCCCTGCAAAGCACCCCAATTCTACCCACTCCCTATCCCCACCCCCAAGGAAGTGACTCCACTTTCCCACCCTGGGCGGCTAAAAAAAAGTCTGGGATCCAGCCTTTCTCCTTAGCCAGAGCTGGGGTGGGGGGACACCGAGAAAAACTTTCTGCTCCGTTTTTTTCCCCTCCCCTCACAGAGTGGAAGGGGGGTTGTGAGAGACCCTAACGAGTTCGGGGCTGAGGAGTGGGGGGAGGGGAACCCCTGAATCGTTAAACGGCCGATAGGGGGAGGGGGTTCCGGAGGTGGAGGGGGCGTGGGATGGAGAAGCAGGCCCAGGAGCGGGGTTAGGGAGCTGCAGGAATTCCCCCCCAACGCCTGGCACACAAAGCGGCTGCCGCGCTCGGGTCTCACCAGATCCTTTGTGTTTTCCATCAGGGCCTCATGGGTAGGGGATGTCCGTGCTACCCGAGCCCGCAGCGCCCCCTCCCTGAGAGGGGGGCAGGCGCCTCTCCCCGGGACTGCGGCGACTATAGGCGCCCCCGGCTGGGCTCAGACCGGTGGCAGCTGCGGCAGCCCCCGGATTTCCCCCCTTTAACTCAGGTGGCCCCAGGATATCAACAACATTAGCATAGCCCTCCCTCCCCAGCGCGCCTGCGCCGTGACCCGCGCCCCGATTGGCCCACTTCCCTACTTACCCTCCTCTCTGTCTTCCAGCGTGGGACCCTCTGCAGCTCGTACGCTACGGACCGTACCAAGACGAAGGGAGGAAAAAAATAACTGGGGCTCGAGGTAAGCTGAGTGGGTAAAAAGTCGGAAGAAAGAGTGTAAGTCTCCCTTCAGTCACCCCTGTCCGTAGTCTGGCTTTCTTGCGCTCTTTTTGGATGTGTTGCGGCTGCGAGGTTGTGTTGGGAAAATTTTCCACTCCAGTCACGCCTCAGCCCCCTACACCCGGAAGATTGGCCCTCCCAAAGGAACTCCCACACGGGGAGGGGCCGGCGGGGGAGTGGGAGTGACGTAGGGCGTGAGTATTGGTCACGTGGCCAGAAGCTGCGCAGGCTCCTTCCGGCCCCTCGAGGCCTCGGCTACGGCGGCGGCTGGGAGGGAGACACCCAGGCGCATGCGTAGTGGGGCTCCACGTGAGCGCCTGCGTTTCTTCTCAAGCCCAACGATGCCGCCCAAACGGAGGAGCCGAACGAAACCGGACCGGAGAGCTGGTGCGAGACCGGGCTTGAAGACCCAAATGAAGCCGGACCGGAGGTCCAGAGCGGGGACGGGCAGGCCGCCCCGAGAAGCTGCCCCTTCATCCCAGCGGATACCACCGGCCCGGCCGAACGCGGTGGCCGCTGCGCTCGCAGTGGCGGCGGCGACGGCAGAGGAGGAGACACGGCTCCGGCAGCGGCACCGCCTGACGCTGGAGGAGGACAAACCGGCCGTGGAGCGGTGTCTGGAGGAGCTGGTCTTCGGCGACGTCGAGGCCGACGAGGACGCGCTGCTGCAGCGGCTGCGGGTCGCGCGGGTGAGGGAGGCCTCGGCGCGGGCCGGGCGCGCTCGGGCGGGGCCCGCGGTGGGCGGCGAGGCTGCGGGGGCGGAGCCTGGGCGACCTGCGGCGGCGAGCGCCCAGGTGGGCGGGAGCCCCGAACGCGCGGGCGTCGAGGGGCCGCGCGCACCCACCTCAGCGCCCGACCCGAGTTCGCTGCGAGGGCGGAGACCGAGCTTTCTCCGCCCCAGAGGGGCAGCGGATCCAGTGGGCGCTCAGCTCACTTTGCTCCACAAACTCAGGTCTTGAGCTCTGCAGGCCCTTGGCTCTTCTATGCTCTCTCTGCCCGGTGTCGGCCAGGTCGTTGGATCACCTGCGCAATACCGTCTCGTAATTCCAGGGCTCCCTTTCTTTAATGCTGTGGAGTCTGCGTTTTAACAATCTCCCCGCGTGATCGCGACGCAAGCCAGCTTTTGAGAATGATCATGAATGCCTCTGTGTAACAGTTTGCAGGTGTTTGCAAGCCAGACACTTCCTGGCAACTGCAAACCCTGCGTGATTATAAGTTTTGTGCTCTTACTCCTTTCTGGGACTGGTTTTCGTCCAGGATAGGAATGCCTAGGCATTGTTTTAGGCACTGGAAGGGACGTAGCAGCAGACGAAACTGTCCTCTTGAAGCAACACACTATTAGTGACAGAAAGCAAAGGAGATAACTAAAATTAAATGTGTTGATGAAAAGGGCTGAAAAGAAAGGAGAAACCATTTGGGAAAGGGAAATTAAATGTGTGTAGAGGAGGCCTGTGAAGTTTAGATAGGGTGGCCAAGGAAAGCTTCCCTGAGAATGACTGCCAGTGTTAGCTAAATCAGCGCTTATTTATCGAGAATCTGGTGATTGCCAAACCCTCTTGTTTGCTCTATTGGGGAATGGTCCCAGGGCCTCGCACTGAGCTACATCCCCAGCCTTGTTTCTTATTTTCCTTATTTTGAAACTAAGTTGTCCAGGCTGGGCTTGAGCTTTGGATCTTTCTCAGTAGTAGTGCAAGTAGGAATCTTGGGCCATTGCTGTCTTGTGGGATGAGAAATGGGCAGGATCATTTGGAGGAGATTTTTTTTTTTTTTTGGTACCGGGGATCGAACTTGGGACCTTGCGCTTGCGAGGCAGGCGCTGGAACCACAGCTAAATCCCCGGCCCTGGAGGAGATTTTTGCGGTCTGAATTAGGTTTGCTAGTGTAAAATTTAGATCGGGGGCAAGAACGGTTGAAAATGGAGAAGAGGTATCTGAGACAGGAATTACATGATTTTCAAGTGTTCTCTTGGACTCTAGTGTACCTGGATCCAGTAGCTCGGCATTTCTCCTGCCCCTCTCGTCATCGCTCAGCTTAGCTTTCATTACGGTCTTTTCCTTTCCGGGCATTGACTTTCTCTTCTTGACTGCTCTTCCCTCTCCTGTCCGCCTGGCAGTATGGCTCTCTGCTCTCATTTGCTGCCCCTGCTTCCAGCATTTTGCTGTGGTAGCATTCCATCCCATTATTTCATCAGAGGGCAAAAAAAGAAAAATAATCATCCTATAAGCATCCTCTAGCTGCAAGACAGGGAGTCTGCCACCGGGATATCGGGAAAAACTCAAGGGTTCGAAGGTAGTTTGTTTTCTGTAGGTTCAGTTACATGAAGACTCAGATGACTCAGAAGTGGAAAATGAAGCAAAAGATAATTTTTCCCCTCAAAAGAAGCCGGTTTGGGTGGATGAGGAAGATGAGGATGAGGAAATGTAAGTTGCCTAACTTTCAGAATTCTTGTGGATATTTTAAAAATAATTTTGCAGGTTTTAAAATTATTCTCGCTACAAATATGTAATCATGTGATGATCAGGATTTCTGGAAGTATGGAAAAGGGAAGGTTATTCATAATCGCTCCGCCAAGGGAGACCTCTATTTGGCCTTGGCATGCTGTGCTCCCTGTCTGCAGTGTGGGCTGTGTGGCCAGCTGAGCGGTGACCCCAGCTTGCTTCCTTAGTTGGCCACTGTCAGAGTGACCCTGGACATGTTTGGCATGTACCTGGTTGTTTTTTTTTTTGAAGAGGGAGCAAAAACTATGGTAGCAAATGTACCAGAAGGCTGGGAATTTTCCGTACAGTGTCTGAAACTGAGTAGTCTTTACAAAGAAAGCCAGCATGTATAATGTTCTTTCATAGACGAGAATGTTCTTCATACTTAATGGTTTGACCATTTTATGTAAAGTTATATTGCAACCATTTCTTCTCACTTGAAAAAAACCAAAAGTTTTAAATAGCTGTTGTAGCCTGTTGTATGAATCAACCGTAATTTATGTAGCTATTATAAGATTCATTTTTTATAATAAATTAATATTGAGATGAACATCTTTCTGAATAAGTTTTTTTGTTTTGCTTTTCAAATTAATCCTTTGAGAGAATTATTTAGAGCACCGCTAATTGTGAGGCTCTTGATAAATATTGCCAGACTGCATCTACCAATTTCCTGTGCCCTTGAGAGGTGATGTGGTCTGTTCTTAGATACATTCATTCATTTGTTTATGTGAGTTTAATGGTGGGAAATGAGAAAATATTATTAGTACTTGGTATTTCTTATAAGTCTTCTCTGTTAAGTCTCTGTTTATTGGAGACCGTTTCTTAGTATGTCAAGTTTTTTGCATGTTAAAAATTTCAGACTGTTGTATGTCATATATATATATTTTTTTTTTTTTGGTACCGGGGATTGAACTTGGGACCTTGCGCTTGTGAGGCAGGCACCGGAACCACTGAGCTAAATCCCCAGCCCATGTATGTCATATTTAATACAAAATTTCCCCAGCTTTCTGTGCATAGTTTTAAATTTTAGTTAAAACTGTGACTTTTCTTGCTTTTTATTTTTGGTACTGGGGATCGAACTCAGGACCTTGCACTTGCCAGGCAACCACAGTGCCACTGAACTAAATCCCCGGCTCTCCTTTTTTATTTTGGTACCGGGGATCAAACTCACAAACTGGTGCTTGTGAGGCAGGTGGTAGAACCACTGAGCTAAATTCCCGGCCCTCGTATGTCATTTTTTTTGTTTTTGTTTTTTTGTTGTTGTTTCTTGGTACTGGGGATCAAACTTGAGACCTTGTGCTTGTGAGGCAGGCGGTGGAACCACTGAGCTAAATCCCCAGCCCTCCCCTTCATTTTTAATGTTAACAGTAAAATGTCCTTTATCTGAAACATAAGTGTTTACCTTTATTTTTCTTAAATAGCATTTTCAGGTTTGCTCTTTTTATATTTAATTCTTTGAATTACCTGGGATTTATTTTGAAGAATGGCATAAAGTGTACACGTCTGGGTAAGTCATGGTGAGTTTTCTGACATATTAGCTCTCCAAAGCATAAACTCCACAGCAGGAAGGATGGAGATTATGCAGTTGTGATGTACCATGTCTTACAAGTCTTGACCTATATTATTACGGTAATGCTTTGTCAGAATACTAAAGGCAGCACCGATTTATGATGACCCTAAAGATCGTTCAGTATTTAAAAAAAAAAAAAATCAGTATATGTTGTTTTGTAATTTACAGGGTTGACATGAAAAACAACCGGTTTCGGAAAGATCTGATGAAAAATGCCAGCGAAAGTAAGCTTTCAAAAGAGAAGCTTCAGGAGAGACTTAAAGAAGAGTAAGTGTCCTTGTTCCCGTGAGTGGCTGGTAGGTGCATTCCCAGCAGTGGACCTGGGTTTGCCCCATATTTGTCTGTGGCAGCTTCTTGGGTGGTCCCATTTCTAACCCAGTAGCAGGCACATTGCTATTCGACACAGTGACTACATGGCTACAGTGGCTGGGGAGCAGGGATATAGCAAATGCAAAGAAAATTTGAAAAAAATCCTTGAGATGCCACTCAAATATAATTAATAATATACCCAAAGATAGTAATATTGTGATTGTGTAAAGTAACAATATTATATATAGTGTGTCATTATTTTTGGTACTGGGGATCGAACTCGGGCCCTTGTGCTTGCAAGGCAGGCAGCGGAACCACTGAGCTAAATCCCTGGGCCCTAGTATGTCATTTTTTAATACAATTTTATAACATGAGTGTTTTCAATTAAAATACCTGCCACACTTGGGTTCAGTATTTTTGTTGTTTTTTAAACATTCTGCCATACTTTGTTTCTGCATTTGGGTTCTGTGTGTTTTCCAGTCTATTGAAATAA